AGCACTTTTTTCGAGCCTTTTTTTCCCCTTTTCATCCCGTGTCAGTTTCTCTTTGACATTGCCGTGTACTTTGCAAAAAGAAAAAGGAGCGAGAAAAAAAAAATCTTTATCAAATCCCCATTCTGAGGCTTTCAATAAGGCAGGCCATTACCTCACTGGCGCTTTTGTTCGGCCTATACAAGAGAGAACAAAATGGTTATTCAGGAGGACGCTTTAGATTTTTATTGTGGGCTCGCTATTCACAAAGAGCACCGTTATTGTATTAAAAAGAACCATCTGTGGCAGAAACAATGGCTTCAAATTATCTGTGAATACCCAGTGAACAAAATATAAAGCTTTTTCCTGCTCATTATGTGGGCTAAGCTAGGGGGTGGAAGATAGGAGAGGAGAGGCATAGACTTTGCTATAACTGACTTTTGTTGTTCTTGCTTGCATTCTTCTCCTTTTTAAATCGGCCCCCTTTTCACATTGTGTGTCGCCATAAACGGCTTTTCTTGTTGCAGGGCTAGCGGAGAGAAGACAGCGGAGCTCCAGACAGACAGCGGGGCTGCGCGGGGGCTGCACGCCGACCACAGCGCACCGGCTGCCGGATCGAAACCCAGCGCGGACTACCGGGGAGGAAAAGGGAGGAAAAAAAAAAAAAAAAAAAAAAAAAAAAAAAAAAAAAAAGGGGGTGACCGTGCCGAGGGTTATGCCGGATGGGTGCCACCGGACTGGAAGCTCCGGCCCCCGGACACACTGAGGCTCCTTCACCGGTGTTGGGGGGAGAAGCGACAGACAGATACGGAGGAGGTTGAGCGAAATGGCATCTTGTTTAATTTCTGCCAATCAAGACGAGAGGAAGACAACTCCCAAACTGGCAGTAAGTTGGAGTGGAGAGGAGAAGCCCTGTGTGTGTTGGTGTGTGTGTGTGTGTGTGTCTCGGTGTGTGTGTGTGTGTCGGTGTGTGTGTCTGAGGCGGTGTGTGTGTGCGTAAAACATGCAGTGTTGTGGAATGACACCGCATGGCATCATGAGCTTCACTGACTGTCTGAGTTGTTGTTGGCCGCTTTGGGTTACTAAACACACACATCACTGATGCACACACACGATATTTGACCACCAGACTTGAGCTTCTCCTTCATGCAATTTGATACCATTTATTTCTTTTCCTCCTTTTAATAATCATAATGACAAATAATATTTTAATAAGGCTGCAAATTAAATCGCTGAGTTCCTCTCAGTTGAGCCCTTTATTTGTGCGCTCATGCGCTATTTTGACAGTTCATTTTATTCCATTGTACCGAAAATCAGAGTTTACATTTTATTCTCACTCTGCATTTTTTGGCTTAGTTTATGTCATTTGCTGTAACTTTTAAAATTATACGACATCTTGCGAATTATACAATATTGTTAGAAATGTAATTTGCTTTATTAGGCGATATAGTCTAATTAATTTTAGTCTATCGGGCACATTGACAAAAATAGATTTGGTAAAATAATAATAAAAAAGTAACACAAAAGCAAATGATAACTACAGCGTTTATCTTCAACCTTGAAAGAAAAAAAAAAGAATTACACAGTCTATTAATCAGGGAAAAAAATAACCTTGTCTTTGTTTTCTACATTAATTATCAAGAAGGACTGCTAAATGTTGTGATTAAATGTTCTTGGCGGTGTCGCCAGCCCTTGTTACGGCCCCTAGTGGCAAGAAAAGAACAAGTTTATTTCCATTTCACCTGAAATCTGTCTCTCTCAGTTCTTATTTTGTCGCATTTTAACAGGATTAGTCACTTTATAGATTTTTGCCATGCGTATATTTGCATTTTTATCTGGTTTAACTGGCACCAAGATCATGGAAATAAGCTCAGAAATTATATTTTAGATAGTGCTAGGCCTTGTTATTTTATACATAGTTCAAACCGGAGATCATTTTGCAGTTATAGCTCGTTGTTGCTCCCCTTTTTTTTTTCTCTCGCTTGTTTTTTGCACCTAAATTTGAACAAGCACAAAACCAGTATTTTGGTATCACAGCGTGCCGCTTTGCTGTATTTGCTGTATCCATTCCAACCTGGTGTAGCAGGGGGCTTACAAGTGGTCCGAGGGAGCCGCCCCACTAGTTTCTCCTGGTTTTTGTCAAACAACGGCTTTAATTCAGGATGATTGTGGATGCAGGGCCATTCCCGGCTGGCTGGGGCCTGCTTTCAGAGAGCTGCAGGGCCCCGCTGTTCCTTTATTATCATAAGCAGATTAGAGGTAGCGGGGAACACACTCAGATGCAGATAGCAGCCGAGCGGCCCATTTCAACCTTGCATTATAATGGACCGAGCTGCATGTGTCGCCTCTCGCAGCCTATTAAGCACAAGATGAATCTTATGTAAGGTTGCCGGGGCCGGCATAATGAGAGCACGGGGGCTCCGCTCCTCCATTTATTATCAAATGACTAAAACAAAATAATAAGGCTTGATCTATTCACTTTCAATTATGATTTAATCTAGAGACACGCATTTAAATTAAATTATTTCAGGTGTGTGTACTTGATCTATCTTTAATTATTGTCTGGTTTGGAAATCCAGACATGTATGTGTGGCCTCATTTGTATTTATTTTTTCCCCCCTCCATCTCACAGGCATGCGGAGTGTTGTCGTGTGATGAATATATATATTTTAAACTGTTTTCACCATTTCTTATTTGTTAAATTCCAAACAGTCACCCTCTATTTCTTCTCTCTACTTGGAGAAATCCCTGCTCTTTCTGGATGTGCGCGTACTTCCGGTTGTGTCCAGTAGGCGGCGCTGGTGCCACGCGTCATGACGCTTCCTCCTCATGATGGAGATTCAGGGAGGAAAAAACAAGTGGCACCAACTCTTGCAACCTTTTAAAAAAAAAACAAAAAAAAACTTTCGGACACCATATGAGTCGATGATTTCTCCGTACAGTTCGTGATGCCGGTTTGATTCCATAATCAGTTCAGCACGCTCGGTTTGATCCCGAATGAAAAGTGAAGCAGGTGGAGGCCCCGCTTTTCATCCACCCTCTAATTGGCTGACACGCTTGTTCGGGGCTTATATGAATGAGCTGTGTCTTTTGTGCAAACACACTTTATCTTAAAATATTCCTCACCTTTATTTCTCCTCCCCTCGTGTCCCCGGTAGGGCCTTGTCTCCCCCCTTTACGCAGCGCCACAAAGCCCTAACAACAGCAGCAGCACTGGCAGTGGAAGTGGAGTGGAGTTGGGTCTTTGTCCGGACAGATGTAGCGACAACATCCCAAACAAAAACCGCTTATTTGTGCTGAGATGAGCCCGTCTGCCTTCTGTGTGTTGGCATTCAACTTCACTAAACAAAAGGACTGGGGGAAACATCTTGGATTACCTTTCCTCTTTTCAACGCTAAAAACCAGCCGTGGCTTCCTTCCCCCCCCCTGCTCACATTCACACACCGCGTCCATTCACTGCTTTGAGTTAACTAACAAAGTTTAGGCCTATTTAAGTGTTGTTATGTTATTGGGGCTGTAAGTGGGGGAATTAGTGACTTTTTGATTTTGAACAACAGCAGTGTCACGGGCCGTGACTTGTGTCAGAACAATGCAGTTGAAGCACACACGATACTGACACTATTAATGTTTCATACTTTGATTTCACTCTTGAAAATAAGATTTTTAAGAAAAGGCGTTATCATGTGGCTTCTATAGATTTTTTAGGTTGAAATTTAGGCCACACATTTTCACAACAATCAAACCAAAACCTATTAAAACATCGTATTTATTAGAAATTCTTTAGCACATATTTATTCACTATGAAACTTTTTTTGGTCCTATGTGGGCATAAACTTTGCATGACAGCACTTTTTTTTTTTTTTTTGAATTCCCAGTGATCTTTTTAAACTAGCTAAATATAATTCTATAAAATGACCATAAAGTGCCACCACATATTTGTAGATATGTATATATACTCAAAGAGAGAAATCTCCATAAGCTTGGAAATAGTAAATATGTACTTTGTATTGGCTAATATGTGCAGCTGAGTGAGAGTGAGCCTGTGTGTCTCAGGGCAGGCAGACCCCTCCCCTTTATGCTAATTAAGGTCTCCCATTGGTGTGTCAGTGGAGAAGGCCGGCTCTGATTGGCCAGGTCGAAGCCATTTATTCGCTGACAGCCCAGTCACATGAATGGTTGTCTATTAACTTGTTCAAAAACTATCTGGAGTTGTCAAGGCTCAGGCGGACACAGGCGAAAAAGTACAGTTTGTTGATGCTTTTTCGGAGAAGCGACGGGAGAAGTTTTGTGGACACAACATAGCAGGGACCTATTGGGAGAAGACGGCTCTCTGTCACACACACACACATCCTCCTGACACACACTCAGTGAGAGGGAGAGAGAGAGAGAGAGAGGGAGAGAGAGGGAGAGAGTGTGTGGAGACGCGCTCTGATGCTGGTTGTTTTTGTCCAGAGAAAAAAGTTGCAGAGAAAATCGACAGGTAACTTTTAGCAGCAGCCCTGCGCTCCTCACTGTCTGCCTCCGGCTTGTGGAGTTTGTCTCTGGCTTCTTTTTTTTTTTCCTCGTCTGCTCGGGAGCCCCAACTAAAAGCTGTTCCTGATGTATAACATGATGGAGACTGAACTGAAGCCTCCGGCTCCCCAGACCAACACGGGGGGCACGGGCAACACCAACTCGGCCGGCACCGGCACCAACCAGAAAAACAGTCCGGAGCGGGTCAAGAGACCCATGAACGCGTTCATGGTGTGGTCCCGGGGCCAGAGGAGGAAGATGGCGCAAGAAAATCCCAAAATGCACAACTCGGAGATAAGCAAGAGGCTGGGCGCAGAGTGGAAACTTCTGTCGGAGAGCGAGAAGAGACCTTTCATCGACGAAGCCAAGAGGCTGCGGGCCCTGCACATGAAGGAGCACCCGGATTACAAATACCGGCCCCGGCGGAAAACCAAGACCCTCATGAAGAAGGACAAGTACACCTTGCCCGGCGGGCTGCTGGCTCCGGGAGGCAACGGGATGGGAACCGGGGTCGGTGTCGGGGTGGGGGCCGGGCTGGGCGGTGGGGTGAACCAGCGGATGGACAGCTATGCGGCGCACATGAACGGCTGGACCAACGGGGGCTACGGTATGATGCAGGACCAGCTGAGCTACCAGCACCCGGGGCTGAACGCGCACAACCCGAGCCAGATGCAGTCCATGCACCGCTACGACATGAGCGCCCTGCAGTACAACTCCATGACCAGCACTCAGAGCTACATGAACGGCTCCCCGACATACTCCATGTCCTACTCCCAACAAACCACGCCGGGAATGACCGCCCTGGGCTCCATGGGGCCCTCCTCGGTGGTGAAGTCCGAGTCCAGCAGCTCCAGCCCGCCCGTCGTCACCTCATCGTCCCACCGGGCCGCCCCGGGCTGCCAAAGCGGAGATCTGAGGGACATGATCAGCATGTACCTGCCCGGGGCGGAGGTCAGCGAGCAGAGCGCCCAGACCAGGCTACACATGTCTGGGCACTACCAGAGCACCGTGCCCGGGACGACGATCAACGGCACGCTGCCGTTAACACACATGTAAGAGACACACAGCAGACACAGAGAGAAAGAGAGAGAGAGAGAGAGAGAGAGAAAAAAGAACTTTTATAAGAGAAACTGTGGACTACTTAACGTTGGACTATTTTTGTACAGAAAAATTTCGGGGTGGGAAAAGTTGTATAGAAGTCTCCAGGACAAAAGGACACACGACTCTTTTTTTTTTCTTTCATTTTATTCTAAGGAAGCTCTAGAGGAACGGTAGGAGATCCCCCTGTTCACTGGTGGATGAAGTTTGGAAGACTAGAAAGTGGGAGTCGCAATCAAATGTTTTATTATTGCAATCACCTTTTGTACAGTATTT